CCCCAAAACCCCAAAACCCCAAAACCCCAAATATAACTATACTGATGAAAATTACAATTAGAAAATATGAAATGTTTTTATTTATGTTTATGATGAAATTAATAGAGTTTTAACATGTATGAAATTTAGGGTTGTTTTACTACTTTAGCAGATAGTTCATTCCTTGTTCCAGCCGAAAAGAGCCACACCTCTCTGGTACCAAACATAGGATGGTACTCCATGGGTAGGTATTTTGACTGAGAAAAGCAAATTAGATCTTTGCTTGTTTAGATAGACAGGAATTTAGATGTACTCCATTCCTTCTATAGGCTGATCCTCATCATTTAGCTTGTTCTTATTAACCCATTTAAGGTTAGCTTTAGGCATGTAAGCTTGTAATGATTCTGAAAGTCTGATTCTATCCTCTTGTTTGGAATACTAAGCACCTTCAACAGATAGCCCTTCAACAATGAATCCAAGTGGATTCTTCTGAATATACTCCTCTGATGGATTTAGTTCAAATTTAAGCTCTAGTTCTTCCAAACTCCATTTGTTCTCTTAAGCGACACTCTGTCTAATAGCTGTAAGGTAAGCTTCAGGGAAAAGTAATCCACCGAACCAAAGTCCTTTCTTACCAAAGTCAGTTGAATTTGAAAGCTTTGAAAGCTGATCTATTCTCTTTTTGAAATCATCAATCCATTCAGTTGCTGAGATATTAGCAACATTATACTTTCTCCATTTCTTTGGAATTACGTCTGAGTGTAACTCTTCCGCAAGTTGTTTCAATACATTGGTTGATTTTCTTTCACCAGCACACATCTCTCTGAGCAATAGAAGATCTGCTTTCACAGCATCTAAAAGTGATGACGCTACTGTAACTTCACGCTCCAAGAATCTGAATAGTGGATTAGTGATGGAAGCACTAGTTCTTAGTAGCAGAGGAAGCTGAGCAGGTAGAGCCTTAAGAAGTTTATCAATCTTTGTCTACAGCTTGACTAGCCATGCGGCTTTGCTATCACTTTCTCCTTACTTAGCATCGTCTGCAGCAGAGATAACATCATCTCCTGTACCTTAAAGCAGTTTCATGTTTCCAATCAATTGATTAGTTTGTCTTTCTCTAACTAGTTTCTCTACATTTAGAGGAAGTCCACTCCAAGAAGGACTTTCAACTGCAGGTAGATCCTTTATCCATTGGAAGAATCCCTTGTAATTCTTCACATCTGGCACCTTTAGTACTTGCTCATCTGATTCTGCTGGTGCATTGAATAGTGGGAACTCGAAGTTGAAGCTCTCTGGTCTGAAGAACTGGTTGACCAAAGAATTTAAGATCTTGTTATCGAATGCATTATCAATTTTACCACCGAAAACTGATTGTCCGATAAGCGTTCTAAGGGCATCCCATGGGATCTTATCTGGGTCTATGTTTTGTCTATCTTTTCCCATTTGATCTATCCATTCATCAACACACTCTAAGGCACATCTTTAATCGCTCTCATTGAACTCGTAGAATTTACTCCAACCAATTGGTGTGTATCTGAGACGCTCTTAAACGACAGCATTGAACCATGCTACCAAGAAATGAAGACGAGATCTCTCAACTGGGATTTTGTTTGATCTTGATTCAGTGATTGTTGATGTGTATGATCTAAGGAGAGCAGCTTTAATTCCAGAGGGTGGTTCAAATACGAATACATGAGATGCTCTCAATAAAGTTGTTGGCACTTTTGGATTGACTTCCATTGTGAGGAATAATCTAAATTAAGGATGAAGCTAAAGCTTGTAGATTTCCTTTTCAAGTTCAATAAGCCATTGAGGAGCTAAATGAACATTTTTCAAAAGTACCCAGGAGCCTGTCTTGCTTGCAGCTTTGATTGCTTTATCTACTAATCCAAAGGCTTCTGGTGATCCAATAGCAACAGATGTGTATTTCTTGTTTGCCTGTTTAGCCAATTAATCAACTCTATATGAAGCATCAAAACCAGGAGCTGAACATAAGAGTAGTGGTGACTTAGCATGTGACTCTTTATCTACTATTCTCATGAGGTCAAGTTCACCAACATTGAAGATTTGTTCACCCAACACCTTTGCAACGAATAGTCTAGCTGCAGCCATGAATCTGTCGGGTCTTAATATCTTTAGAAGAATCAATCTCTTCATATCTTTGATAGTTTCACTCTCTGAACCATCTGATCCCATCTAGTCTGGAATCTATTACTCAGCATTTGGATGATCCATAAAGAACATCCATTTGTCTTCATTCATTTCAATGTGCTCAAGGATCAATGCAAATTACTTGGTTGAGCTGAGTTCTTCCATAGTCTTCAACTGAGTCTTTGATAGTTTACCACCACAGAAACTATCTGGTAGCTTTGTTTCAAATAGAGTTGAGGATTTTAACAATATTTCAAAGATTTGATCAAAAGATTAATCTCCTCCTAGTCTTATCTAAGCAAGTCTCACTGCAAATAATACCTAGTGTTCTAACTAAAGTCCTTGCGATATCTTCAAATACACATATGTGAAGAGTTCTCTGGTTATAATTTTGAGTCTTCCCTCAGGGTTTTGCTTTGTCATCTTCTAAAGTTCTTCATTTGTGTGTAGAACAGTAAAGATGTATTCCATAAAGTGCTGAAGTGAGTATTGATACAAGAAGCTAATATTTGACATGCTGTCTAGAGTGAAGAAAATTCTTGATGACATGTTGGAGAGTGGCTGATACTAATTTGAAACTATCTCAATTTCCTTCATGGTGTCATCTGTTTTTTCTACTTCAGCGGCTATTTCAGCAGCTTCCCTCTTAAGTGTCTCAAGAGTGTTAATAAGAGCATTGTTGTCTAGAATATTTCCCTCTGATTTGTTAAGAGCATCTAAAAGAGAATCTTCCAATTCTCTTAGCTTGACTTTACATTCGCCTTGCAACTTAAGCAAGTCATTTCTCTTTTTATCAATTTCTTCTCTCTCATTCTTCATATAAATGTTCAAGCATTAGTTTTAGAGTGAGGATGGAGTAACAGTGAAGTTGACGAATGTGACTCTAGAGCACAAATCTGGGGTGAATACTGCGTTGGGATTTCTGGTGATCATAAACATCACGAATGTCTGAGAGAAATCAATTTCTTGATCACCAACTCTGATAAGGACACGACCTCCTGCTTTATGAACTTCCTTATTCAATACAGAGTTAAGTACAGGGTCAATCCTTTCCACGTCTTGAACTAGCAATGGCAGACCAAATCTGATTGCAGTTTCTAGGTTCTTCATGAAAGAATCATCAGCGAAACTAGTCTTCTGAATCTTCTTATCAGCATAATGGTTGATTATGAATTTCAGAGCTTAGTCACTAGGATCAATGATCAGAGGATATCTATTGAATCTCTTCAAGATGATAGCATTCTCAATACACAACTCATCATTGGGTAGCTCTTGAGTTTGCCACATTAATCTATCAGTTGGCTTTGAAAGGAATTCTACATAGCTGATGTCATTTCTATATCTTAGACCGATCTTTTCAGCAAAGAATTTCCATTCGATTTAGAGGAAGTTTCTGTAGTAATGGTCGAAGAAACCAATATATGTAAGGAATGCAGAGGAAAGCAATACATCACCGACTAGGCAAGACATCTGATCCTTAAAGTTCTTAGAGGACTACTCCCAACGAATTCTTTCTGAACTAAGATTTTGAATCAATTATTGTGATCTCTTAACTTTGTCTTGTACCTTATTCATTTCATTCTTGATGCTTTAAACTTCTCCGATAAGCTGACCATAATCAACCTTATATTGCTCAATGTTTTGCTCTAGTTACTTCACCAAGTTTTCTAGCTTTATCATCTCATTCTTCATGCTGTTGTGTTCTCTCTCAAGTTCAGCAACCTCATTTCTAAGGGGCTAGATCTTATCGAAAATCTCTGCATATTCAACCAAACTCTAAACCCAAAGGGCCAATGGACCAGCTGCTTAAGATGCTTTGAATATCTTTTCGACAACGAATTCATCTTTCTTGTCAAGATAATTAGTCTTAATGAATCTCTTGATAACTGGAGTGATGGAATCCTTATCAAATGACATAATAGTTTGAATGAATGTTGGCTTTCTGAGCCACTCCTTTATTTCAGCCCACTCTGGTTTCTTGGGGTTACCACTGACCAAGGCTACGACTGGCTCTAAAGCTAGTCTGACACCCTATGGAGGACTTGCTAGAGCCCTGAGCTCATCAAGATTCTTTCTTTGAATACCTGACACACTATCTTAGGCTGCAATAAGAGCAGGCTCGGCTTTTCCAAGATCTCTCTTGACCTCTTCTTGTCTAATAGCAATCTGGGCAGATTTAAGTTCAAGCTCCTTTTAAGTCTTAATAGACAACTCCCTCTTAGTCTCAGCTTCTTTTTGTTCATGAACCATAAGCTTAAGCTTTTCATTGGCAGCTTTTTCTTTTTGCATGAGATCTTTCTCATAGACGCTAAGTTGCCCTTGAAGATCAATGACTGCACCTTCAGTCTGCTTCAGTTTATCTAGACCGACGTTTAAGTGATATTGTTACTCTTCTAGCTCTTCCTTCTTTTCATGAAGTAACTCAACGAAGTGCTTAATCAAATCTAGGAAATCTCTTGGAGTGATATAATTGAACTTCTTTGCTGATTTCATGAGTCTTAAGTTTACCTCCTTAACTGTGTTATGAATTTCTACTATGACTTAGCATAGAGCTTCGTGCTTGGGGTCGTAGATTTAGATTTTTCCATCCTCTGGGTTAGCTCTCTAGATTACTTCCATTGGCTTAGTGAAACTTTCTGGAAGGATATCTAAGGATTTTGTGAATTCTTTGGCTACTTACAATAGTCCATCACTTGACCACTCTCCGAACCAATCGATAACACATCTATTGAACAAGGCAGGAGAACTAGCAGTTCTGTTGCTGAAATCTGGATTTGATGGATTCATTGTGAAAACAACGTGAAGATTTCTTTGTACATTAAAAGTGAAATGCTTGTAGAGTTCTTCTTCAGTATCAATGATTTTTCCATCCTTTAGGGCTGCTTCTTTACATGAGTTGATTAATGCCATATACTCCTCACCATCGAAAAGACCTGGGACTTCACCACTGGCTAGTAAAGCATTCATTCTCTCCAAGAATGCTGTTGATAAGACATTACTTTCATCAAAGATAAAGCAAATCTTTTCCATCTTACAACCAGCTCTCTTCATCACTGTTCTTAAATCAGCATCAAAATCTTCTACAGAGTAGTTTCTTCCAGCTTTGATTTAGAAGACCTAGAGATTGTTCATCCAAGAAACGAATCTACTCAATGTAGTCTTACCAACTCCTGATGCTCCAACCAAAAGTAAATGTCCTAATGGCTGTCTGAGTACACGATCAATTCTGAGGATATGATCTAGAACTGAATCGAACACGACAAGAGGCACATTCAATTCTTCCTCATAGAAGGTAACCAATCTTGCCTCGATGAATTTCTTAAGTTCTTCCTGCTTTACAGAGATGTAGTTCTTGTTTAGATAATTAGTGAATAGAATTGGTCTCTCTAGTGCTCTTGAAGTATCAACCTAAGGGAAGTTTCTTTGAGCTACACCATCAATTGCTTTGTTACACCAATCTTTTTCTTCATTGAACACAAGTCTGTCCTCAAACAGTCTTAAACCTTCATGAACATATAATCTGACTAGATCCTCTGGGGTATCTAAGGATTCAAGTGCTTCATAAATGGCATATTTCCATCTGGTCAGTTCTCTGGGAGAATAGATATAATGAGCCTGCATGTCTGATGTAAAGTGCTGTTGGGACTTGGTATAGAATTCAACCATAGCTTCAGTGAGGGGCTCAGCATAATTTCTTAATGAAGGAACTTTCTTAAGCATTGCTCTGTTAAAGGTTCCATAAATTTGCTTGAGTGACTCTGGACCTGGGAAATCTACAAATATGAGAGGACAATGTCTCAAAAACCTATCAGAGAGAGGATGTCTACCTGCATCAGTTGGAGGATTGCAAGCACCAACAAATTGAATTCTCTCTAATTTAACGAATTGTTTATCATGTGATCTCCAGAATCCATTTTACTCAGTAATTTGTCTCAAGAAGGTAATAACAGTTTAAGTTCCATACTTATCTGTGTCAGGCAAGTTGATTTCATCACAGAACACGACAAGCCATTTGTTTGGTTGATGAGGTCTTAGTATCATTCCAGATGGCGTCTTTTTGTATTCACAATAGTGATCGAAAGTCTTAAGAATCAGCTCTGGAAGAGTACTAGATGAGAAATTGATGAAAATCATTTCGAAGTCAGTAAGCATCTTCAAAGTTGCCATTAAAGTCATAGTTTTACCTGAACCTGGTGGACCGCATAGCAAAAATGGTCTATGCTCACTAATCCAAGAACAAAGCACTTCTTGATGTCTTGTTGTATCAACAGTGGTGATAACTACATCAGCTTCTATAACCTTGGTTGGCTCTATTTCAATGTTTGGAACCTTCTTTTTCCATAAATGCCATTATTGGTCTTCAAGCTTAATCTCATAGTCAATCAAAGGATATTATTAAATGGATGGCATTGGAACACTAGTGAGTTCGCCAAGTTTATTTCCAAAATTGGTTCTTGTAAATAGGTTCATTGAACCTCCAACTCCCCAAATACAAGCAAATACTACAAACTTGAGCATGTATGCTTCAATTTGCTGATCATTTAAGTGGAAGTCCTGATGAGCTTCATTATAATCTAGTACATTCGAAATACCTTTTCTAATCAGGGCGAATGTTGACTCTAAGCATCTAATTCTAGTGAACTCCATAATGTGAGGAAGAGATTGAGCATAGTCAAGAGTCTTGGTCATGAAACCATCCTCCTCAAAGAGAGGTTTTATGCTTTCAACACATCTCTTTCTAACATTTCTCATGTATAGAGTGTCAGCACTTTGTTATTGAATCATTTCATTTTAGTTGTTCTATCCTTCAGAATTTTTCTTCTCTTTATCAGTATCTTCACCTAAGCTATCATAGAAATCTTGAGTAAGTCTGCTTAGATAATGACTATAGATCATATTGATAGTAACAGTTTCCTCTGAGAACCAGACCATACCGCATCTTGAAACTGTAGCTAAGGTAGCGTGTTTCAAAGTCTCTACTTCGAACATTATTCTAACATTAGGTGGAATTGAGAGTCTCTCTCCAGATGGTAATGTGAGTAGCTTGTTATCATCCAAGACTGAGTTTAAGTTTTCAGCCCATTCTGGATCGACATCACCATCGAATATAATCCAATGTCTCTTGCTAGATTCTCCTCTTACATTATCAATGATTCTTCTCAAAATTAGAGTGAAAACACCATCTGTCCATTCAGCAGTAGTTGAATCTAGTTTACCATACAAATCATCCTTGCTAATAGCTTTAGGATCCACAATATAGGACTCTCCTTTAATTCCGTCTATTCTTTCTAGAGCTTCTAAGAGAATCTTCCAAGCAGCTGATTTACCACAACCAGTTGGACCGACCATCATAACTCCATGATGTAGGTTGGAAATTTAAAAGAGCTGCAAGACTTTTTCAATGAATGGACCCTTTGTTATCAAATTATACTTGCTTGATAGTTTCTCAATTTGATCAATAAGCTTATCCTCTCTAATTTGAATAATTGTAGAGCCAGGGAATACACCTGAGAGAAGTGAAGATAAGAGTGGAATATCTTCAGCAATAAGTTTTGGAACTAAGGTATCACAAAGTGACTTGATTAGAATATTTGTCTCCCATTCAACAGTAATTTCAGAGTTATCTTTTAGTTTTGCCTTCTCTGCTCTCTTCAAATTACCAGCTGAAACAAGCACAGACTTCAAGGCTCTTAGACCGAAGTCATAATGAGATTGTGAGGAAAGCTAGTTGGCACAGAGATCAAAGAGTGAAACGATTTTTCCACTCAGCTTCTCAGCAGTCTTGAAACCTTAAGAATAGAGCATAACTCTTGCAATCATTTCCTTATCTGGCATAACCATAGCAATTTGTCTAAAGAGTTGCTTTAAGTTGTCCGGTAGGTTGCTTCTGCCAGCATATCCAGGATTCATTGTAATGAAGATACCCATAGCTTGATTTAGCTTAACATCCTTCCCCATTAGTTCAATTTTACTTGAACCTTCTTTAAGTCCCATCTGAATAATCAAGATTGATTGGGATACGGCAGAAAGCATACGCTCCTCAAGTCTGTTGAACTCATCGAAACATCCCCAAGCACCGACTTGACAAAGACCAACGAAAATTCTACTCATAGCATTGCCATCAAAAGTCTCATCACAATTGAAAACTAGGACGAATCTTCCAAGTTGTGAACCAAGGGCCTTAACAGATTCAGTCTTTCCAGTACCTGCTGGTCCAAATGGAGAACCTCCTAGTCTCCAATGAAGTGCTTGTGTCAAAGTTAAATAGCATCTATCAGTAAGTGGAGTCTGAACAAGCTTTTCACCTACTCCCAAATATTCGAATCCATAGTAGAAATTAGAGTTAGCCATTTGGATTTGTAGTTTATTCAAGGCTTCCTTTTCCTTTGGCTTCCAGTAGAATCTCATGTGATAGAGCCAAACGAAGTCTGAGACTGATGATACTTTCTCATTCATCAACTATCTGGTTACTTCTCTTTGATGCACAAGATCTGTGATAAGCTGCTCATATTTCTGTCTAATATCTTTCTTAAGATCAGTAAGCACTCTTTCAGCAAGCATTTCCAAAGTTAATTTAATTTGCTCCTCAATCAGCACTAGACTCAATCCTTTCTTCTTGTCCAGAGATTCCTCGACTTTGTTGGACCATGATACTTGCATAGATAAGATGACAATTTAAGCTGGATACTTTTAGATCCATGCATTGAACTCCTCTTGCTGTTCAGCTCTATCCAAAATCTCTAATGCCTAAACTGAATTCTCAAGATGATGAGCTAGAGAAATTTGCATTTACTGTTCGATCTTTGTAAGCCAAACATAGATTGTAGGATCTTCACTAATGACTACTTTGTTGCTATAGGGAACATATTCTCCTTCTCTGCTGTACATACCAATTAAATGGTCTCCTTCATTCTCAAAATTCATAGTGGTGATACCAGCAAACATCTTAGGGAAATGTCTTTATACCATCTTGATTTCTTTAGAGTTACCAATGATTTCTAAAAGATCTTCATCTCCAACGAAATAGAAACGAGCAAAGTTTGATCTTTGAGTCTCCAGATAATCTCCCAGGGCTTTTTGAATCTTTGATAGCATATCCGAGAATCTTTCTAGTGTCTTTTACAATCCTTAAATCGATAGAATTTCAAGCACAATTGGCTTTGAAGCTACCTTTTTCATTAAGGTAGTGAATTCTTAGTCAATACTTCTGAATCTGTTGAATTCTGCTGAAAGCATAGTCTTGATATCTGCTGATCCGAAGAAAATACCTTCAAGATACACATATCTACGTTGGACATCAATCCAGTTATCAAAGATAATTCTGATCTTTTAAAGCTTATCATCCCATGGTAAGATTTCCTCCTCAAATACTTTGTAGTATGGTGACATCTTCATTGACTATACGTTGTTAATATGCTCATCAATTTATTGGAACAATTCATCCCATCCTCTGATGAGTTTGCATTTATTTTGATATCTAATAAGCTCAAGTTCGTATTTAGCCCAAGTCTCTTTGATACCTCTCAAGAACTCCTCTAAGATCATTTCTCCTCTGGATTAATTTAAGACCTCAGCTACCTCCTTCTGACACTTAATCAAATCTGCCTGCCATAGATGATTTAGAGTGAGGTCATTGAAGCTAATCTTGATTCTGAGCTTTTGTAAAAGATCCTTCCAATGTCTTGGCTTCATTGCTTCTGATTTCAACTCAGCTAAAGTAAGATTTACTTTTCTGTAATTTTGGATGATCTTTTTGTACTGTTCATAAACTTCATACTATCTGATTCTATTTGGGAAATCTTGCATGAGTTCAATTGCTGAATCAAGTTATTCTTTAACCTTCTTTGATACATAAGCTGAGAATGGTGTCTCATTTACAGCTTCAACAATACTCCAAACCTTATTCAGTTCAACCCAGACTTGCTTAAGGCCACCTAGATCCTCTTCTAGATCGTCAAGTCTTCTAGGATTTCCTAATTCCATATCAAGTAACTCTTTAGCTTTGCATATTCTTATCCATTCACCTTTAGTTGTTGTGATTTTCTTTCCAATAATGGAGAGTAAGTCTAGAGCTCTAGACGGAGTAACATTTCCTTAATGAGGTCTATTATTCTTCCAATCCTCTTCAATTTCCTTGATTTTTTAGTTTACAACTTTCTCTTCATCTAAGATTTTGCCTTGTAAAGTGGGAATTTGGTCATCCATAATCTTAGACTTCTTAGACAATATTTGCTTAAATGCATTCCACTCTCCTTCTACTTAATCAATGCTTAACCAGTCATGAGTAAATTGATAGCGCTATGTAATGAGCAATTTAGAACCAGATTTATACTTATCTATTTCACTTTACCATAGTCTAACTTGGTTCATCATTTCTTTTATCTCTGTCACAAATAATGTAACATCATCTGAAGCATCAATGCTCAAAGTTTCTAATTATCTTCTAGCCTTTTGGATGGTTTAATTGAAATTTTTCATGTTGTCACCAAGAGTGCTTCCAAATTTATTCAAGATTTCCTTGTGCCATTAATCGAATTTATTGTTGACTTTCTCTTAGATAGGGCCAAAGTAAATTATAATTGCTCCAAAAGCCTTAGTCTTCTCAGAAGTGTCAAATGTCTTACGACCTAATCTAATCTCATTCAACAACTAATGCCACTTATCAATGTTATCTCCAAGTTGGCCATATACATTTGAGGCTTCGATATCCCAAAGTGATTGATAACTCTTCCATGTTCTAGCATATTCCTCTGCATCTCTGACTTAGGTTTCAAGTACTTAATAGGCATAATTAAGCTCCTTTTAGCTCATTCTTAGAATGAGGTTTCTATAAGTCTTGTCCTTCTAGCTATTTTGTTCTCTTTCTCTGAATCTCTCATAACGAGCAGCTTCTACTTTTTACAGACCACAGATTAGCTCAAGTTGATCATGGAACTATTTATACCAGAATGATCTGACTTCAGAGATGGGAGGATCTAATATGATTGTCTGACTCTAAATTTTGATCTCTAAAACAGTCTTGACTTTAATCATTTTTCCACCGACTTCTATGAACTTATTGAATTCACCGATCCAATTCTGAATGAGCTCCTCTAGTCTTTGTGTAAGTATGCCTTAAATTCTCTGATCAAGTTCATCTACCCAGATATTCAAGTTACTATAGTCATTGAAGTTAAGCTCATCAACAATCTTTTGAATAGCATGAAGCTTAGACTATAGTTTTTCTTTGTCTAATTCACATTAACCGAGTTCGCTCAAATACTCATCAATCAAAGTAGTCTTTTCAATTACCTCTTAAACAGCTTCTTCAAAGGCCATGACCTTGCTGGCTAGTTTTTTACTGAATGAATCTACTCTTGCTTCTTGTTTCCAAGCTAATTGTAGACCTTCAAGGAGTTAGTTTTATACCTCATTTTTTACATGAGCTACAAGCTTTACAAACTTATCAGTGACTTTAGAATTGGTGTATTAGAAAGTTCTTAAGCTTTCTTGAATATTAGTAGCAATAGGATATAAGTTCTATACTTCTTGTGATTTGAGAGTGATAGAGAGAGTTGGTTTAAATCCAAGCCTTTTAAGATTTGCTTGTTCCTTAAATAGAGAGAATAGCTTTTAGTTGAAGTTGAGAACCATTTCGTACTTATTCATTCTATGTTCAATTTCAAAGATAACTTTTTCCTTCTCGGTTTGCACATTAATGTTTTGGATATCCGTAATCCAACTATCATAGTAATGCTATTGTATCTGAGTAAGCTTCGATTGGAAAGACTCACCGAGTTGATGAAGCTCTCTACCTTCAACATATTTATCCCACTCATCACCGAGAACTGATCTAACTCTGTCCATATATATGTGTAGTTTTCTTTCAATCTGTTTAGTCCATGTGATCTTATTGGAGATACTGGGGAAATCTCTGACTTGACTGAGAGTATTATTTTATTCACTTCCGCCTTCGCTAAGCAATTTTTCCTTAAGAACTTAAATATCTTTTTTGACTTAAGACAAGAGTTGATTTTGATATTCTTAAATGGCACCCTTTATTCTTGGACGAGAGAAAAGAGCATTGAAACCTGAAAAGACTTTAAACATTTCACTAGCGTTAGCAGCTGAGGCAAGTTTATCTCTGAGAGCTGCTGTGATTTAAGACTCAACCTTATCGATTTTGTTATCGTAGCTACGCTTTGTGATGTCCCAAACTTCCTAACCTTCTTTGGTGACATCAAGGACATTAATGTTAAGGAATAATTAATAAGCGTCATTAATATCATTTAAAGCTTACTCCTCAAAGTTCCTTGAACCAGATCCTGATCCTAATTCCTAAGAGCTGGATGAGCCATCTTTGTTCAACGTCTTGGAAATAATCTGCTTAAGTTTCTGATGGTGATGTCTGAATGTGATAATGTTCTCTATTCTTTCTCTGAGTGGTCCTCTTTCAAGATTCAAGAATTGAAGACCAGACTTATCTCTCATTCTTGAAGTCTGTTGTCTGATTTGCTCTTTGAACTGTTTGAGATTGTCTTACCAAACAGTAAATACCTATTTGACATCGCGGGATATCTCCTTTTTAAAATCGTTATGGTCCAAAAGCATAATCTAGAAATTCGATAACACTTTCAAAAGCTAGTTGTTTAAATCTCTAAATACAGCTTCAATCAATTGCATTGCTCTTTAAATAGGATATGAATCCTGATATTTAATCTTTTTCAATTATCCAAATATTGCTTCAATAGCCTTTGATATCGATTCTAAATCATTAGCGGACAAAAGCTGGTTAATCGGGAAATCTCTTAATACCTTGTTATAGCTTTATGCAGTTTTTAGCTTGTTATCAAGCTCGGTATCATGAGTGAAAGTGAATACAGTCTGAATTTGCTTAGCCTATTGCAGAAGACTGAGAGTGATTTTAACTTCAGGCTTGTTTAATTGCTCCTTGATATGAGTCAAAGATCTCTCTAGGGATAACCAGAAATTAATTTCTTGAAGGGCAGATCCAGTAGTGGGATCATGCTGAAGCTGAGTAACCTTTCTGATGTCTCTGTACCACTGATCGACGCATTTCTTTAGTCTATTTAGGAATGCTTCTCCTTTGTTCTCTTCAAAGTCTTCCTCCGTCATTTCTCTTTGCTATTATTTGGCTTGTTCGCTCTTGGTTTGAATGTCAGGATCGATCATCAGTTCAATTTCTGGAATATCTAGATTCTGAAGGCATTGAACCAAATGAACCTTTAGCTGCAATAGATTCTTTTGTACTAGTTCCAATCCAGATGTGGATTTACCTCTTTCATCTTGATTTGAAGGACCAGTCTTGTATGTATTGAAGAGTGGGAGTAAAGAATATTCCACATAGGTAGATGCAAGCTCAAAGATGTTGGAATCTTCTCCGATGTATCCAAGGTTCAAAATTTGTAGCTAGGAGGACAAGTGTCTTGCAGTTTCTCCTTGTGGCTTCAATTCCAAAGTCTGGTATTGTTCTCTCTTTAAAAAAGCGATTGTGTGAGCCGTTTATCCGAGATACTGCACCTTTAAAGAGAATCTTAGTTCGATAGGTCTGAAAGGATCATCTAAGTCTCCGGTTGCTCCTCCATCTGGATTCAGTTGTTCTGATTCCTTTTGCTATGTTGGTGTCTGCTGAGCTTTTCCATCTGCATCAATGATTACTTTTGATTTGTCGAGCTTAGCAATCAGTAGAGCTCTTTGCTTTTTATCTACTGCGAAATTCTTCAGAGTTGCCTAGTTGCTTGGATCATGTAGCTCTTTGTAAAACAGATCCTTGTTTACGTTCAGCAGTGTAAAGCAAGTGGAGGCCAAATACTGATTGAGGTACTCTAGGTCCTACTCTCCGATTTCTATGATATCTGCCTGTGCAGTGTTCACGCTTTAATTAGGGTCTAGTTTATCGACCATATCTTCTTCTTGATAGTTAACTATCTTATATTTAATAAGTATTTAAATTTGGATTTCCCTCTCTTTTATACCCTAGCTTAATCACACATCAGAAAATTTATCACAAATCCCTTATTTTGACCACTTGGGGTTTTGGGGTTTTGGGG